AATAATAGTGTACTAAAAGTAAAAAATAAATAAATAAAGGACAAAAGTGTAACTGGGGTATAATTAGTGGACGAATGGTGCAATTTTTCTTTTATAATTTTCAGCATTTTTTATTTTATTTATTTTCTGTTTCGTTTAGGGTTTGAGACATTTAAATAGGTTTCTCATTGTAAATATGTTTTTCATTTATCGTCTTTTGTTAGTTGTCATATAATTTGAATTATTTTATTTTTTTAATTTTAGATCAACACACACTCATACACGTTGAGATTACATAGGTTTCTCATTGTAAATATATTTTTGATTTATCGTCTTTTGTTAGTTGTCATGTAATTTGAATTGTTTTGTTTTTTTAATGTTAGATCGACACACACTCATACAGGTTGAGACCTTTACATAGGTTTTTCATTATAAATATATTTTTGCTTTATGGTCTTTTGTTAGTTGTCATATAATTTGAATTATTTTGATTTTTTATTGTTAGATCGACACACACTCATACAAGTGCGTGTGAATATGTAATCCAACATAAAAAGCTCAGGCACACAAAACATCACAGAAATACATCAAAAATATTTACCTGGCTCAACCGAAGTGCTGTTAAAGCCCGGGTAAAGGTCTGCCTTGGCCAACTCTTCGTTGTCACACAACGTACATCAACTCCTCTCATGGATCGTCAAATCCAAGATTTTTTTTCCAGAGAAGCTTCTTTACAAAATCTGCATCAATGGCGAAGCAATTAATTTGTTATCCGCTATATCACAAGAAACATTATTAAGGCGACCAATAAGCAAGATTAGTGGGCAACTTGTGGCCGACGTTGGATGGATGCTTCGATGCTTGCTTTTATGGTCTTGTGTTAAGAATTCTTGTATAGAATAATCAGTCATTTATTTTATTCTATGGTTTTTAATAAACTTTGTTATAAATTAAAAAAAAAATGATGAGAAGTACTTTGTTTTCGTATAATGTGAAACATTTAATATACGTTAATATTTAATGACACTACAACATAACTGATATTTTGTAACAGTGAAAAAGTATTGTTTAATACCTAAAAAA